ATGGCTTGTCATGGACCAGGTTGTATTCATGGACGTGTCCCAATGGTCAAAGGTTGTGACCATGACTCCACGTCCATGGACACAAACCCTCGCCATGATAAACGTAGACCATGAACACAGAGACCATGAGGAAAACATCCCATGTCCATTACTAATACAGTTGGCCATTGATTAGTTCAATATACTCATGGTCAACTGTTGTTTTCATGGTTTACTGGTTCCATAAATCTATGGTCAGAAAAATCCATGGTTAAATTTATGTCCATGGCTCATGGAAAGCCCCATGGTTTTTTTACCCAGGGCTTACATTAAAAACAACCAGAATGAAGAAGAAAAATCTTTTGGGAAAACTTTAAGCATGTATCCTATATTTAAGAAACTGAAAACTGGCAGAACCAAATCCGCCTCAAAAGATAAAACCTCTGAAGAGACCTCTAGTGTTGTTACGTCAGATGTTCCTTCAGAAATAAGTTCAATTAAAAAGCTAGTCAAGGATTATTTTGCCAAAAATAATTTTCCTAAAGACTACATTAAGCCTGTTTCTAACATTAATGTAAATGTTAAAGCTGTACTGAAAACAGGTGACCCATCATTGTCAGCTACAATTACACGCCCAATTCGCCCAAGCAATCTACCTGCATTCAGGGCCAGGAAAAATTCGTGGGTTCTGTCGAACTTTAACTGACACAGACAACAGACACATATTCTTCCTCGCATTCTTCTGCATTTTAGCTGTACCGGAATGATTTATAATATCATCTAGCTGGGCTGAATATGGTATATAACATCATGAAAATTCGCCTTTTATTCGCGGAGCAAAGTGAGCGACGCGCCTATGATTCACTCAGAATAACGATTTCTGTTACGCACAATTTTCTTTTTTTTTTAAAGTAAAAGAAGATGGGATCAAGGCGGTAGCAGTTCGGCAGGAGCCGGGCCTGCTTGGTCTGCCGGCTGCGATGGTCGGTTTTCCGGACCATTTCGGTCACTCGATTTGCTGAAGACACGATGTAGTTAATACGGTGTAGGCTCTCCGGTCGGTAGCGGGCTAAAAGACGGCCGCGGAAAGACGGCACATTCGTAGTTCCAGAAGAGCCGCCAGTGGCGCTGGCGTCGACCGATGCCGGGCGAGGGGAGGCGGGAGGGGACGGGAGCGGTGCCCCGCTCGTCTCGTCCCTTCTCCCCCCGCCCGGCATCGGTC